AATATTTTAGTTAGATTGTAAATCATATTTTAGTTAGATTGTATATTTGCGAATTACCCTAAAAACAAATATATTTGCAACTTGCAAACAACAAAGAAGAAAAAGCCCAAAAAGACATCTTCTTGATCATCAGATTCGGCTCCACTTTAAATTACGAAATTGATTTTTTTTTTCCTTTTAACTTTTTCTTTTGGCGGGATTGCTTGCTTTGATTTTGGAATGGTGTAAAGGTAAAGCAAAATTGGTTTGAAAAGATTGAATTGAAGCAAAAGCAAAAAAATTATACATTAATAAAAGTTGATATTGGGAGATACATAGAGACTTTGTTTGTAATAATAACCAAGAAAGAAAATGAGCAGCAAGAACTTGGGAGCTGCTCCTGTTACAACTTCTGCAGTCAATACGAACGGTAAGCTACCAATGGAGGAGAACGAAGACGACGAGATATGGAAAGCCGCGGTGTCGAGGTTTCAAGCCCGAGAAGAAGAGATCGAGAGGAAGAAGATGAATGTTAAGGAAAAAGTTCAACAGCGACTCGGTTTTGCAGAAGAAGCTACAAGATGCTTAACTCAAACATTGGAAGTAAGTAAAACAAACAAACCCTTTTTGTTTAACAATAATGGATCATTGGTTGATAATGCTCTTACTTAAAAAACAGGAGCTAGAGATTATGGGAGATCCTATGAGAAAAGAAGTTGGAATGGTCAGGAAGAAAATCGATATGGCGAATCGAGATATCAAATCTTTGGCTCAAAGCTGTCAAAAGAAGGTATTTCACTTTTTCATTCTTCAAACAAAATCGTTTCTTTATTGTAAACTTTGTAGCTCTGTTTAACACAAGAGAATATAATCTGACCAGGAGAAGGAATACAGAGAGACATTGGAAGCTTTCAACGAAAAGAACAAAGAGAAAGCTCACCTTGTTTCCATGTTAATGGAGGTATTAAATCTAAACCACCTAAGCTTTGTAGATTTCTAAAGCAGATCCAATGTGTATTGATGATTTTGTTTGGCAGCTACTGGCTGAAAGTGAAAGACTAAGGATGAAGAAACTCGAGGAAATTAACAAGACTGTTGGAACCTTACAATGAAGAGAAACAATCCACATGGATCTTACCTTTGAAAATTTGTTTCATGTTTTTGGTATTAGATTCTATTCAAGTCCTCTATTAAAAGTGAGCTACGATGTATCAAGGAATGATTTACCTACGGTTCAAAGAAACCATCGTGCCCAAAGAAAAATTTCTTAAATGAACTATTTAGTTCAATGCAAGATGTCTTTATACATATAGATAATGTCACCACACATCAAAAATCA